AAACCATTATACCCTGATTTCCCATTTTCAATGGGTTCAGGGTATAAAAATAAATGGGATATAAAAAACGATGTAAACATGTATACATATGTATGTATGTATGTACATATGAATGTATACATGTTTACATCGTTAAAATGACAACTTTTGAAACCACTCTTCTACATACATACATATACATACATATTTACATGCTTATATGTATATGTATGTGTATGTGTATTTATCTGTGATGAATTTCGCATTTCACGCAGAATATTTATTATACACTTGTCTATTTCGAATGGTCTTCAAATGGCGGCACGTGGCTGCAGACCAAACTGGTTGCTGCCCATTTAATTGCCAAATCATATCACTCACGTGTCAAATAAGTTCGAGTTATTTTAAATAAATTAAAGACAAATACATATATATACACACATACATACATACATATATGCATAGATATACATAGCTAGATTGTATGGGGCATTAACATAAGTTGTCCATTTCTATGCAAATTACAAATTGATTGCAGCTTGCCTCGCTTTGATTGGGTAATTCGTACTTAAGCATGCTCACGAGATCATTTTAATTAGCCATAAATCAATTGCAGCTTTATTATTGCCATGCAAAAAGCACGCTACGCACTCGAAAAGCTCTCTTGAAAGGTAACGGAAATATTGGCATAAGCATTGACAAAGCAAAAACAAAAGCAGCAGCAAAAATAAATGTAAAGAAAATAAAAACAACATGTTTCCATTAAAACGCATTGCAAATGCAGCGTTTCCATTACCAGCTGTTAGATCGGACTAATTGCCTTGCTGAACACTGACGGCTCTGGCATTTGGGATCTGTATGCTGTTGACTAGTGCTGCTAGGCGCGAAACTTTCTCAAATTCTTTTTATTTTCGTTTCGTTTCGTTTAATTGTTTGAGAACAAGCGCTCAACAATTAAATCTAATTAATTAATGTCATCTAAATCACGGACAGCGACAACAGCAGCAGCAGCAACAACAATGACAACGGCAGCTCCAATAAAATTGAAAAACGAAACCGAAACCGAAAATCTTGTCACTGTTGTTGTTGTTGTTGCTGTTGTCGCATGTTGATAAGGCCAGATGAACGAATACATTGGGTAGATCGATTAATTAGCACAAGCTACAGCTGGGCGTGGCGTGGCTTGGCTGGGAGTGGGCGGGCGCGAGTAGTCTCCGAGAGATTGGCCAACAATCGGATGGAGTCGAGCGTGACCGTGGCTAGCGGTTGCTGCAACTGGGTTAATATACAATGCACAAGAGATAGCTACATAAATAACAGTTGTGTTGCTGTTATGTGTGTGTGTGTGTTTTTGTTGCTGTTGTTGGTTAATGCAACTAATAATCTCAGGGCCTTTTATTTATATTTATATTTGATTTTTTGCTCTCTTCCAGCAGTTCGCCTCAGCTAACAATTTGGAATGGAGCCAAATAGCTATGTGCAGGCCTCGGCGTTGCCCAACAGCAAGCGTTTCGTTGTCGAAGATTCAAGTGAGTGTCCCTAGCTTCCGGCTTAGAAAGTAATCTATCTTAATGGCGGAAATGTGTCGTTGTGGGCGTCGGCCATTGCCAAACGGGGGCATAGGCAAACGACAATTAAACGGCAGCAAAAGCTCTCCAGCCAGTCAGCCAGCCAGCCGGCGAGCCAATCACCGATTATAAACAAGTTGAAGTTCAACAGCGACTTGGCCCTGAAACACTGAGTCGAATGTGCATCATGAATCAGGCCAAAAACTGCCAGACAGCTAGGCATTTGCTACAAACTAGATCACTAACCACTCTCTCCCTCTCTCCCTCTCCTGCTCTCTCTCTCTCTCTCTGTGTTGTAGTTACTAAGGTGACCTCGGATGGGGAACCGCACGGCATGATGACCATGGTGGCAGGTTTGTCGGGCTTATTAGCAGCCATTATTATATTGGCCGTGCTCGTTTCGATGGTGGCATGTCGCAAGCGTAAAACGTAAGTGATTATTTCCACAAATCATCTTCACATAGATTCAGTTAGCTGAAATGTCTTTTAGCTGTTGCCACAAAAGGAAGGCCTTGGGGCAGCAAGATCCGAGCAAATCATTGGCCGTGGCCATGACCAGCGTGGAGAGGTCGCAGCAACAGCTGGCCGGCAATCTGAATGCCGCCTTTGCGGAGAGCACACTGACCCTCAGCGTCGATGTTAAGGACAAGGGCAAGGACCGGGATAATCAATGGCCCACAGCAATTGTGGTTCAGCGCTATTAGACGCAGTGATAGCGTTAGGAAAGCACGTGATGTTTGTGAACACAAGAGACTGAGATGCCGTGGTGGCGCTAACGATGCCGCCACAGCCAAACATAACTTTAAGCGAATTATATTATAGAATACACAATATTTTTCTCATGATTATTTGAATTCATAGCGAATTTGCCGCGCTTTTTTGTGCGTGTGTTGAGCAATGCCAAGAAATGTTATCGATAGCCAAACTATCGTCATCTAGCCGAGGCAACAACCGATACTGTAGCCATTTAGTCCGTTACCATTAAAATAGAAAACAAAAAAACCGCAACAATATTAGCAAAAATTTGTGTTTATGTATGCAAAAAAAAAAAAAAAGTACAAAAATAGAAAAATATTTACTTAAATTCGTTCAAAGCGCCGTGCTGCGACAGCCGACGACCATCGCCAGCAGCGCCATGCGAATGTACATGCCGTACTCCGCCTGCCGGAAGTAAGCGGCACGCGGATCCGAGTCGAAGTCACGGCTGATCTCCTCGACGCGCGGCAACGGATGCAGTACGATTGTTCGCTTGTTAGCCCGCGTCATCAGCTTGGGAGTTACAATGAAGTGGCCACAGCACTGAAAAAAAATACAAAATAAATCACGTCAGTTCCCAGATAACTTTGTTGACTTCATTTATTTTTACTTACGCGTTGGTATTCCTCCTCGCTCTGGAAGCGCTCACGCTGTATGCGCGTCATATAGAGCACATCGGTGGTGGGCAGCGCCTGCTCGATGGTGTCGAAGGTCACTTGGTTGATGCCTCGCTGATGCAGATAACGCATAATGCCCTCGGGCATGCCCAGGCCGTACGGAGCGACATACTGGAGCGTGACATTGTAGAGGGTGAGCAGGCGGGCCAATGAGTGGACGGTGCGTCCGTTCTTCAGATCGCCGACCATGGTTATGGTCAGGCCGTTGACTGTGCCGATCTCCTCACGAATGGTGAATACGTCCAGCAGCGCTTGCGTGGGGTGCTCCCCGACTCCGTCGCCGGCATTGATCAGCGGCTTTCTCGAAAACGATGCAGCGCGCTGTGGAAGCCAATGAAGGATTACGGATTAGCTGACCCCATATTTGATATATCTCCAATATTCGCTTACCGAAACGGCGCCAGGTTCGGGATGACGCAGGACCATGACATCTGCATAGCTGGCCATCACCTTGATGCTGTCCTCCAGTGTTTCGCCCTTCTTCACCGAAGAGGTGACCTGATCCATGGTGATGACATGGCCGCCCAGGCGCTGCATGGCCGCACTGAAGCTGCACTGGGTGCGCGTGCTCACCTCATAGAAGATGCTGGCCATGATTTTGCCGCGCAACAAATCGTCGACGGGCCGATCCTTGGTCACGCGCGACTTGAGCAGCTGCGCCAAATTGAACAGATCGTTCAGTCGCTCTTTATCGAAGATGTCCACGGAGAGGATGTGCTTGCCAACCAGGCAGTGCGTCACGGGGTTTGGCTCCGACAACGCCGAGCTCTTTTGCAGATAATCCTTTAGCGCCGTGTTGGAGTCGAGGCGCAGACGTGGCGATGGTGACACCGGACGCAGGAAACTGCCCGCCGCCGGCGATGTGCTCGCGTTGGCCTCATCCACGAAATGCACGGTCGCGGCACGCGGGGCAGGGGTGCTGGTACCTTCGGTCAGGAGGCGGGCGAACGTATCGTTGGCATCCATATCGCTGGGCAGCTCGCTGCCCTCCATTTCCAGCTTTTGCGGCAGCGGCATCTTGGAGCGCACATTCTGTCCAAAGCCGGGCTGGACGAGCACCTCGCCATCAATGTAGGCCACCTCGCCGCGCAGCACGACGCGATGCACGCGACCCGTGACCTTGGTGCCATTGAAGGGTGTCCACTGCGCCTTTGTCTTCAGCTCGGCGTTGTTAATGGTCCACTCCTCGTCCAGGTCGATCTCCACATAGGTCTGCGGCTGCTCGGGCAAATTGAATATGTTGCGCGGATTGCGATGGAACTTGCGCTTGATGTCCTCCAGTGTGAGCCGGCCCTCGCGCACGGCCTGCAGCAGCATGGGCAATATGGTCTCCAGGCCGGGGAAGCCGGGCGGCGGTCGCTCCGACTGCTTCTCGGCCAGCGTGTGCGGTGCATGATCTGTGGCAAACACATCGATATATTCCATGTGCTCCCAGAGCGCTTCCTGATCCTCGGGCGAGCAGAGCAGCGGTCGCACCTCGGCCATGCCAACGCCCAGGCGCTCCACATCGCGTGTGCTTAGGAACAGATGATGCGGACACACCTCACAGGTGACGCGCAGACCCTTCTCCTTGGCGGCGCGTATCAGCTGGATCTCCTCCTTGCGGGCCACATGGCAAATGTGCACCGGCCGCTCCAGCAGGTGGGCCAGCAGGATGACAGCCGCCATGCTCTGCCGCTCCGCGTGGCACACGATGGGCGCCCGCTTCGGCCAGCGCGACAGATGGCGCTGCCAGGAGGCCATGTCGCTGAGCCGCAAGGTGCCGAACGTGTCGTTCAGATACATCTTCAGGCCGCACGCCTGGCTGGCCAGCTCCCAGACATTCTCCCAGTTGGTATCGGAGGCGCCCACATATAGCGCATAGTCACAGCGGGCGCCGGCGCGCGCCAACTCGCGGAACTGATTGAAGGTCTCGCGGTCCACAATCGAGGGATTCGTATTGGGCATGGCGCAGACCATGGTGACGCCCCCAGCCAAGGCGGCAGCCGTGCCGCTCGCAAAGTCCTCCTTGTGCGTGGCGCCCGGCTCTCGCAGATGCACATGTACGTCTATAAAGCCGGGCAGCTTAATGATGCGACGCGATGTCATGCAGTCGGTGTGGGTCTTCATGAGCGGATTGCGACCCGTCACACGCATCGATTCCACCAGCAGCTTGGTGCACTTTACGTCCGTTACCAGCGGTATGGAGTAGTCGACGGCTAGGCGACGTGTCCGATAGCCATGGGTCATGAATGATGAGACCCTAAATACAAATTAGAATCGCATTAATCAATGAAAGAAAGAAAGTATATCTGGTATATAGATGTGATAGATTCATATTATGCTAGATTCATATGTATATTTATTATTATATATATATGTATGGGAGTATGTAGTAGTGCTCATGAAAATATCATGGCTTAGCCTCATGAAAATCGCATAGAAAGGCGATAATTGCATCAGGTGAGTTGTATGAAAGAGAGTATATCTGGTATATAGATATGATAGATTCATATTATGCTAGATTCATATGTGTAATGATGTTTATATCACGAATTGATCATTAAAATGTTACTATATATATATATGTATGGGAGTATGTAGTAGTGCTCATGAGAATATCATGGCTTAGCCTCATGAAAATCGCATAGAAGGACGTTAACAACATGAGGTGAGTTGAATAAGAGAACCTATACATGTACATACATACATATATAGGGGAGCTGGATACATTTTCTAAGGTATTTAGGTACTATCTATATATAATTCAAGGCAACATCTGCTACTCATATCCTTTAACCCGACCTAGCTTAGACTTACCTGCGTATACCGCCACCACGCATTGGTAAATTGATAACCAAATCGAACTGCTTGGTGGCCAAGAACTCGGCCAGGTGGCGCAGCTCGCCGTTGATGTCATCGGGTGTTGTCTTATCGAAAGTCCACTGCACAGACTCCACCTGCAAAGAGAACCAAGAATATCGCAAATTAGGACTAGCTCAGGGCTACATACATACATACATAGATCAAGGCCACGTCATTCAACGCCATTAGCTGGCCAATTGTTTGCCTAGGGCATATAAAGATATTGGATCTTTATGGAGCTACATAATAATGCACTTGTATTTTGACAATAATGCCAATAAAAACTACGGCCATAACAGCAAAACATTGTAAGCTGCATGTGCACAGTATAACCAGGCTAGCAGCGAGACCCGAATACTTGGCAATAGTTATCGATATTAGTTATCGAATGCCAAATGCAAATAGACTGTAAACGGGGCTTGCTCGGACACCTTTTGACATTTATCGATAACATTTATCGAAGTAGTGCAATCGTTAATTGCTTAAAATTTACATTTTTTTCATTTTTTCCCAAGACAGCTACAAAACAAGATTGTAGATCTCTTAATTGACGTTTTACTTTAATATTTATGTATTCTAATGAATTTAACTGGATTAGATTCTAATCGCATTATTATATAGTCCATTAGTCTCGGAAAATATAGCACGAGACTTGGACAAATTATTCTAAAAAAAAAAACATTTAAATTTCATAGAAAATTATTCATTTCATCATCGATGATGCTTGACAGGCGAATTAAATATGGGGATTTACTAGTTTTTGTTTTTGTTTTTGTGGGATTCGTAATTCTCTAGATTATCTACTATAAATAGATGCAAATATTTCTAGACATGGTTTACAAATTCTTTTGATTATTTTTGACATAACTGGTGGAAAGTAATTCCGTTGATCGCTAAACAAGATCTCTAGATCTCTAGGTAGGTAGGCATACGAAAATATAGTTATTAAAAATTGAGTCTGAGAGCTGAGTTCAGTTATTCATCAAATTTCTATGACTGCTATAATTGATCTAGAAAATATATTTATGTTTATATTTATATATTTTTAAATTTTAGTTTGTTTTGCTCCACTGTGCGTGCCGTCTTCATGCGTCTTCTGCAGCCATTGCCGTGTTTACATGACAGAAAAAGCGATAACAATGCCTCCACTTGACTGGCCGGAAGCGTAGGAAGAAACAACACTTGCCGCTGATGGGTTGTTGTTGTTGTTGTTATGCTCGCCAATGCGATGTGCCAAACGGGCATATTGGCTTTGGGCAGAGTTAATAATATGTGCTTTGTTGCCCAATTAAAATGGAGAATTAATACGAGCGAGCGAGAAGAGAGAAAAGATGAGCGAGATGAGCGAAGCGAGGATAAGTTACAAAAGAGAAGCAAAATGAGAGAGGTGGGAAACAAGAAGAGAGAGAGAGGCGAGAAAAGCGATGATAGACAAGATATGTGACTCAAGAGACCCAAGAGTGAGAGAGAGGTAGAGAGAGAGAGAGAGAGAGAGAGAGAGAGAGAGAGAGAGAGAGAGA